TGGGCAGACCTAAGGGCTCAGTCAACAGTCAACACTTGTTATGAAGGGCCCCATCCAGCCCTCTATTCCGGGTTGCCTGGAGAATCAGACATCTGGGGCCACTCTTTTACCAATTATTATTATGCACCTTAAACTAGAACGGAGTCCTAGTGTGGTGCTATGGGTTAATGCACTGCACGCAAAGTCAGATTAAACCACAAGGTCCATGGTTCAAGCTCACCAGCTGCTCCTCAGAAACCCTACACAGGGTTGCTATGGATTGGACTCCACTCGACATCACTTAACAACAAAAACAACACTAGCTATGTAGGAGACCTGGTGTGGCACTGTAGGATAAGCACTGCACTGCTAACCACAAGGTTGGAAATTCAAACCCACCATCTTCTCCTTGGAAACCCTATACAGGGTCACTATGAGTTGGAACTGACTCAGTGACACTTAACAACAGACACTCGATATAGGTACACAGCTGGACGGTTGGAACCACTGACCTTAGGGTCAGCAGTCCAGTGTTTATCTAATAAATAACTGATGAAGGTACATGGTCTTACACGGAAACCTGGTGTCACAGAGAAGTAAGGATTGGTCTGCAAACCCCACTGTTAGTGTTCAAAGGCACCAGCCCCTTCAAGGGAGACTTCCGGCGGCTGTCTGCTACCCTAGATTCACAGCCTCCATCCCACCGTGTCTTTATCAATGGGAACCCGCCCGAAAACACACAAGTGATCAGGCCAAGCTTCTGAACTCTTCCAAGCCTTGGTTTCAGATCTGCTCACCTGGAACACAGACTCCTCTTTGGTGTTAAGTGCCGTGGAGTCTGACTCATAGGGATCCGTGGAGGGTTTCTAAGGCTCTAAATCTTCATTGAAGCAGAAAGCCTCATCTTTCTCCCAGAGTGGCTGGCGGGCTCGAACCACGGACTGTTTACCGCATGACGCCACCACACTCCCAGGACTCCTCGGGGCAGGTATGTTTGTTGTCATTAAATGCTCTGGAGTCAGTTCTGATTCACAGTGACCCTGTATCGATTTTCCGAAAAGTAGATGGCGGGTTTGAACCTGCAACCTGCAATGCTCATCCTACAGAGCTACACCAAGACTTCCCAGGTCAGGTCGGGTCGGTCTGAAGGGCTGTCACCGTGAGTAGGTACTCACTTCACGATTTCAGCAATCGTGTCTACACCTCGGGTAATTAATGGTCTTCTGTTCCTCCTGCCTCATACATACCCCGAATATCACTGGTGCTCAGCAAACGTCATCGTACTGAATAAGCCCCCTACATAGTCCCACTTTACTTCTAAAGTAAGTCCTATTAATTAACTCAACGGCAACACCGAAACAAGAAGCAAACGCACTGCTGTCCATGGCAACTCTACAGGACAGTGTAAAACTGCCCTGGAGGACTTCAAAGGCTGTAAATGTTTTGGGGGCGCACACTGCCCCATCTTTCTCCGGCATAAGTTATATATTCGCATGAATTAAAATACACTCTCACTCCTAGGTGCCAGGTTATCCTAACGGGCCCTTATGATTTACACCCTAATTTCCAATCGCCGGCTATCACAAGGCTGTGGTCTGGGGGTCCGCACACGGCTCCGGGCTCCGCCCGCAAGCACACGGTGTACCGGTCGGCTGCTCCGGAGGGGCTCCCGCGGGCCTCTCGCCCGGAGTTTCATGTCTGCGCCGCTCAGAGGGGGACAAACTCCCCGAGAGAGCGAGCAGGGAGGAGGGCCACCGCCATCACAAAGGAACGCCAACTTTTTGCGTTCGGTGCGCTCGGATCGGCTGCAGAACGGAACTTGCTAAAGCTCCCTCTCGGGCTGCGATGGGCGCTGACAGCCTCGGGGCGGCCGGCATTGTCTGGGGCCGCCGCACCGAGAACAAAGTGAAAGGTCACCGGCGGCGGGGACACCGGGCCGGGGACGCCGGGCCCCTCCGGCCCCAAAGTTCGCCGCTGCCCGGACTTTCCCTTTTGTCTGCGACCGCCCGGCC